AAAAAGTAAAAAGTGATAGGTAGCAGTTAGACATTAAGGGGTGGCCACAAGAGAAAGGAAAAAAATCATTGTACTTCAACTTCCCAACCCCACTACTTTCTATTAAAATCAGGTAGCCAGAGCCCAGGGGTTATCACAGCATGTTCTGAAGTTAACCACTCCCCTAAAGCATAATCCACTCTTTACCCAAAGTAATCCACATCCTAATGACTAATGAAGGGAGGTTTTCACAAGCAAATCAAACAAAAACTCAGACCTAAGAGCTAAACAGACCAAGGGTTAGGAATTTCAAACAAATTCTCTATCAATTATAGCAAGAACCTGTAGATTACACAATGTCTCCTCTTAACAAGACAATGACCCAAACCCCAGGGGCCAAAAGCTAGGAATTTCTCAATAAATATTGCAACTTTAACCTGACCTGTCATACTCTTCCTTAAGAAACATGCTTTCAGTCTGTTGAAAGTGTATTCCTTTTCCTAATAAACTTCATTATTAATTTTACTACATCTCTTGCAACTTGCTTGAATTCTCCTGCCAGCTTTTTTCTGGTAACAAAAAGTACAGATTTTCTTTGCCAGCTATACAACTCACAGGGGATTAACCAGACTATACAGGGAGCTCAAAAAACTAAACTCCTCCTCCCACCCCACAAAAAAAAATGGCCTAATGAAGAAACTGGCAAATGAACTTGAAGCGGGAGATATAGAAGAGGAAATGGGGAAATTATATCATTTAATTAACTATTTTTTTTCTTGTTTATTCATATGTCCATACATTGTTTGGACCATTTCTCCCCCCTGCCCCTCCCCCGCTCCCCCTACCCCCTCGCTTCCAGGCAGAAACTGTTCTACCCTTATGTCTAATTTTGTTGCAGAGAGAGTATAAACAATAATAAGGAAGACAAAGGATGAGACTCAGACTTCAAAGGAAGGAAGGTCTGGAGAACCAGAGCAGCTTGCCCCCTCCTATCCTTTTAGATGCTAAATTACAGGTCACTTGTGAAAGAAAACATTTTGAATCAATAAAGTGAAGTGAGAAATTAGCAAAGGTCTTCTCATTAATTGTATCAACTGGTTATTTGGAGCACCATTTGCTTTGTGGAGAAATACTTTAAAAAAACTAAGGTCAGAGAAGCATTCATCAGATCACACAATGATTTAAACACAAATGATAATGCAGTGGGACTGATAGCTTCTCTTCATCAACAGAGCTGTGGGGTACACACACAGGAATCTAAATGTGAAGTTTTTGTGTTTCAAATTTCTTTTGTGTTTTAATACTGATAAGAACTGCCCCTTGCCACCATTCTACAGCCTGAGTCGCAGCTGGTCTCATCCCTTGCAGAACAAAGCCCCATTGTCCCTTATCTCCTGCCACCCTCTCTTTGCCCTTCCATAGCCCTTGCTTTCTCCCAAATGCTACTTAAGGCCAGACCCTCCGAGAAAAAGCTGCCGTGCCATTTTTTCTTCTTGGCTAGCCAGCCTGTTATTAAACTTTGGACATGATACCTCTCGTGAGCCTCCTTTGTGTGTGGCATTTTCCTAACAAATACCTTTTTGACAGCACTCAGTCAAAACTGTGCATAATAAATCCACCATTAACACAGGCTTATGGTAAATACATTCTATATCGAATGAAGTAAGACAAAACTTGAAACTTTGAAAAGCCAGTCAATAGTCTTATGGATGTTAGAATAGTGTTTCCTCATAAGGTAAAAAAGGCATGGAGGTGTACCTCAAGTGGGAGAGTGCCTGCCTACCAAGTGCAAAGTCCTGAGTTCAAAACACAATACTGGCAAGAAAAGTTGTAAGAAATGGAAAGCATTAAATATATGAAAATTAAGTGAGGTAAAGTACCAACACAAAATATGTATACAACACATACATGAAAGTGTTATTGTGCAGAGTAAAAACGAACATATGAATGTAAAATGACCAAAACATTTCAACTCATAATTACATACCATATATTTAAGAAGTATCTACGGCCTATAAAAAAGTATGTATGCTTATGCCAGGCATAAGCAGCTCAGGCCTGTAATCCTAGCTACTTAGGAGGCAGAGACCAGAGGGTCATAATTTGAAGTCAGTCCTGGATAAATAGTTTAAGACCCTATCTCCAAAATACCCAACACACACACACACACAAACAGAGCTGGTGGAGTGGCTCAAGTGGCAGAGTGCCTACCAAGGAAGTGTGAGACCGAGTTGAAACCCCAGCACTGTCAAAAAAAACCAAACAACCCCCCCACCACCAATAACAAAATAACAACAAAAAACAACCAAAGTTATAGCTCTTGGAACACAATCGAAATAACACTGTGAGCAACATAAAAAAGGAACTTGAAATAATGCACACCACACAGTGAAATGAACCAATCTACTATGTTATGTGTAACAGACTGAAGCGAAGAAACCACACACACACAAAATCTTTTCAACATTGATGCTAATGGAATGCGACTATTAACTCATTCAAACCACAAACGGGCAAAAGCAAGAAACTCTTAGTGTAAAGCACATGAAGCTATAAAGAGTGTCCAAAAAATTCCATCCTGTGGCCACCCTGGAGTACAGAACTAGAAAAAATCAGAGATACCAGAAGTAACTATGAACTGTTTTTTAATTATGTGATTACTTTTATGTATATATTCTTTGGGGGGTTTGAATTCAGAGCTTCAGGCTTACTACAAAGGTGCTCTTACTGCTTGAGCCACTCTGCCAGTCCCACGATGTGCTTTTGAGTTCAGGTCTTGAGAACTATTTTCCCAGGCTGGCCTTCTGAGTAGCTGGGATTACAGACATGAGCCACCAGTGCCCAGCACATCAGTCTTTTCTGGAGTCCAAGGTGATTGCAAGCACTACCTAAATGCATCTTTCTCTGAGGCAGATAGATCGTCACAGATTTTCTTCATGTATTCAAGTTACAGATTGACACCAGCAAATGCCAAAACAAAGACACTATCCATAAAACCACACGTGATCAATATAAAACCAGAGTTTTTGGCTCAAAGCCCAAACTCCTGAGATTTTATGTGCCAGGTCTAACCACCTACCCCTAAAATACCAAACAAAGAGGCATGGTGAAGGCAGAGAAACGAGTTTATTACTTGGCTTGGAACATGTTGTGGGAAGAGGCAGAGTAAGCACTCAGCTCATCTTCAGCCATCTTTGGGGTACAGACATGGGCTACAGGTTTAAACAGACAAAAGAACTGGGGGCAGGGGACAAAGGTATTCAGTTAAACATTTCCAGATTTCCAGTCACAAGTGCAGTCTGTTTGATCATTATCTCAGTTCTCGTTCTGTGAGAGGTTCCAGAGTTGTGATCTAGAGTCAGGAAGGTGTTCCATCCTGAGGGAGCTTTACTGTTGGGAGTAGTTTCATCCACTGTCATGAAGATGTTATCATCTGTTTTCACCTTTTTTTTTTTTTTTTTGTGATACTGAGGTTTGAACTCAGGGTCTCGTGTTTGCTGAGCTGGCAGTCTACCAGTTAAGCCACTCCACCAATCCTGTTTTGTGTTGAGTTTTTTGAGATAGGCTCTCAGGAATTATTTGCCCTTGCCTGGCTTTGAACTGTGATGTTCCTGATCTTTGCTTCCTGAGTAGTTAGGATTACAACTGTGACCCACCAGTACCCAGCACATCAGTCTTCTGGAATCCAGGGTGGTTGCAAGGTGACTGCAACGAGAACGGCTTAGAGCAAAGACATACAAAATGGATAGATGCCATGCTTTTCTCTTTTTTATTTAATTTGTGGCCCTGAGTAAGGAGTCTAGACTTTTCAGCAAAAGCAATTTGAGCCTCATATGCTTTCAGAATGGAAAGATGCCAGCAAACTGTTCATTTCATGTGAACACCCTGGCATGGAATAAGACTACTCTCGTGTGAACTCTCCCTGTTTTCCTCAGCTTCTGGAGATTCCACTTCTTCCCAGGTGATGGTGGTCACCAAAGTCTCTGTGCCTGGGATTTACATATTCTGTTCACTCCCTCTCAAAAACCTACACCCAGCCAGGCCCAGGTGGCTCACAGCTGTAATCCTAGCTATCACGAAGCAGAGATCAGGAGGACAGCAGTTGAAAGCCAGCCCTGGGCAAATAATTCCAGAGACCCTTACCATGGGCTTAGAGCAACACAAAATGATCAGAAGTTTAAGAGCATCTGTATTTATACAGAATGGTGTACAAGGCATTGCCAAAAATACTTTGTTTTCATAATAAGTCATAGACAAAAAAGAGCATCAAGACTGGATTCAGCCTCATACTCTCAGCTAGACCAAGTGTTTTGAAGAGTTATGTCACACACCTTTGAGATGCTCCTAAATGATTGGAGTTGATGAAGGTGAAAGATATCTGATTACTGGGTCTTTAAACTTATAAAAGAAAACATTTTGAATCAATAAAATAAAACGAAATAAGAAAATCAGCAATGTTCGCCTTGTTGTAGTCATACTGACTGGCATGTCAGGAGCAGTGCTTCCGGTCACTCTATTCCAGCCTTCCAGGTTAAGACTATTACATCACCAAGAAGGAACTGCATGCATCCCTCGTGAGGGAGCCACCTCACCACATAGAACTACCACAATCTTGGCAGAGAATCTGTGGAGACTGCTTTTAGTGATGAATCACAGTCACTTATGGTGTGTGAAAAAACTTATTATTAACTCATTACATATTATGTGACAAAAGGCATGTTGTTGGCAGTCACCAGCAGGAGGACACATACACCAGAGTGATGTCTTTATTATCGAAAGTGAAGAATAAATGGCAAATTAAAAGTTTTAACAATTTAAGCAATTTACAGGAGGGAAAAAAACACGTAATAATGACTCTTGAGGACAAAAACATTATTAAATCTCTGATTATGATGGGATATTTGCAGGTATACATACATACATTTAAGAAAAAATGATGTTTCATTTCTTTTTGGTGGGGAGTGGGGAGGATTACTGGTGTTTGAACTCAAGCCTCAACACTTGCTAGACTGGCACTCCACCACCTAAGCTACTCTGCCAGCCCGAAGATAGGGTTTCTTAATCTATAAGTTATATGAAAACATTTGAGCTTTCTGAAAAACACACACAGATCTTAGATAAAAAATATACAACACTGGGTGCAGGTGCTTCAGGCCTGTAATCCTAGCTACTCAGGAGACAGAGGTGAGGAAGATCATGGTTCCAAGTCAGCCTGGGCAAATAGTTCATATGACCCCATCTAGAAAATACTCAAAAAAGGGTTGGCAGCTGCTGGGAATGGCTCAAATTGTACAACACTGCCTAGCAAGCATGAGAATCTGAATTCAATCCCCAGTGCCACAAAAAAAAAAGAAAATCAAGACATAAAAAATTTTAAAAATATAAGCATGGAGCTGGTAGCTCACTCCTGTCATCCTAACTTCATGGGAGGCAAAGATCTATTTTGAAAATACCCAACACAAAAAAGAGCTGGTGGAATAGCTCAAAAAGTAGAGCGCCTGCCTAGTAAGTGTGAGGTCCTGAGTTCAAACCCTAGAAATGCCTCCCACAAAAAAAGAAATAAAAATTACAAAGGACACACAAAATTACCATTTCTTCTAACAAGAAACAGTGTAAGCAGTCAAAAACATGCCAAATGAGGACAGTAGGAAAACACCAACAATTCACATGGCATATTAAGCAAAATATTTTAAAATCATACAATAATTATACCTGTTGTCTTACTACAAATACATTTTAAAAACCCACAAATACATTTTAACTCAGGCAAGAGCTAACAAATTCAAAATAAAAAGACCAAAAACTTGATTTGGTTTCAAAAGATACTACCTATTGAACTCATACATTAATGCTAAAAGAAAACATATAAAATTACATTACCCAGCATTTACTTTCAAGAGTCAAAATTAGAAATACATTGTCTAGAGTTCTAACTTTAAGATGAGCTACAGAAAAACTATGAATTTTAGAACAATTTCTTCTGGTTGCTTATTTCCCTCAATATTCTACACAAATTACTTTGTATCAAGGTCTTCATATTATTTGCATTTATAGGATCCCCCATGAGCATTTTACATAAGACTTTGACCTTATTTGTTACAATTGACAACTTTCTTCTAATTCCCATCTTTCACAGGGTATTGATGAGTGTTTATATGCAATGGGTGCATCCCATGTATGTCAAGGTTTCTTTATATATTTTGCTATTTTTTATCTGTGAATTGAACCCAGATGACTAGAGATGTTCCCACATGCTTTATGTTTACAAAAGTTCTCCCCATTATGCATTCTATTGTTTCCTAGAAAAGCCAATCATCATGAAGTCTTCCTACTTCTGTACTTATGGCCATATTTACTGTGAGTCCTACAATGTTTTCTGAGGGAACTGGAAGAAATGAAAGCTTTCCCACACTGATTACATGTATAGGGTTTCTCTCCACTGTGAATCCTTTCATGTACTTGAATGTTTGTGTAAGAACTGAAGGCTTTCCCACACTGCTTACATTCATAGGGTTTCTCTCCAGTGTGAGTCTTTTCATGATGCCTGAGGGAACTGAGATGAGTGTAGGCTTTCCCACATTGTTTACATTCATAAGGTTTCTCTTCAGTGTGAGTCCATTTATGTTTCCTGAGGGAACTGGGATGAGAGAAGGCTTTTCCACACTGCTTACATTCACAGGGTTTCTCTCCAGTGTGAATCCTTCTATGTATGCGAATGTAACTGGAATAACTGAAGGCTTTCCCACATTGCTTACATACGTAGGGTTTCTCTTTGGTGTGAATTCTTTCATGTACATGAAGACTACAGGAATGACTAAAGGCTTTCCCACATTGCTTACATTTATAGGATTTCTCTTCATGGTGACTCATTTTATGATACCTGAGAGAACTAGGATCAGAGAAGGCTTTCCCACACTGCTTACACTTACAGGGTTTCTCTCCAGTGTGAGTCCATCCATGTATCCTGAGGGAACTGGGAGTACAGTAGGCTTTGCCACATTGTGTACATACACAGGGTTTCTCTCCACTGTGAGCTCTTTCATGTATTTGAAGGTAATGGTAAGAACTAATGTGCTTCCCACATTGCTTACATACATAGGGTTTCTTTCCAGAGTGAGTCTTTTCATGTGTCTGATGAGACTGGGGATAACTGTAGGCATTCCCACATGCTTTACGCTTATACAGCTTCTTTCCATATGGTATGTGTTTAAGGTGAGTTCTGAGGGGCACATTTAATGACTGACCAATGAGGGCTTCTCCCCACACAGCATTTTCACATGTTGTTCCATCTGTAGGAGTGTTCTTGTTCAGAACATGATCCGCAGACTGACCACCTAGTTTAGGCTCCAAGAGTCTTCCTATCATGTTACTTCTGTAAGAAAGAAGCACATTACTAACAGCTTGTTTACTAATGATTTATCAGAAGAACTGGCTTATTTTCTGAAGTAACTTTTTTTTTTGGTGGGACTGGGGTTTAAACTTGGGGCTTTCTGCTTGCTTTGTACCTACTATACCACTCAGGGACACTCTCAGTCCACTTTGCTCTGGTTATTTTTGGAGATGTGATCTCACTCCTCCAGATCTCAGCTTCCCTGGTGGCTAAGAATACAGGCCACCAGCTCTTGGCTACATCTGATTTCTTAATATTGTTTCCAAGTTAACTATTTGAATTCACTGCATGTCTATATCACATTTAAATACAATCAGTATTCTCTGTGAGGAATTTTGGGGCCAAGTTCATTTTGGATTTTGAAAAATTTGCAAACACAAATTTTTCAAAAATTTGGGTCTTGAACTCAGGGCTTCAGTCTTGCTAAGCAGGTGCTCTACCACTTGACCTACTCTACCAGCCCTTTTTTGCACTGTGTATTTTCAAGATAGGGTCTTTCTTCCAAACTATTTGACTGGGCTGGCTTTGAATCTTGATCCTCCTGATCTCTGCCTCCTGAATAGCTATCAAGTTCCATCTAAACACAAAATTTACTTTGGTTTCAAATATACACTATAATTTAATATAACATTTTTCATAATTCTGTGCACAGAAGAGGTTTGTGTCCGTTAAGCTTTCAGAAACTGTCACTTGGGGCATCGTGTTGGAGTTCAGGATGTGTCCAATAGTGGGATATTTCAGTTTTCAAATTTTCCAAGTATGGATGCTCTAGTCCACACCTACTGAGAGAAGTTGTGTTCTCTTGTGAGTGCAAATTACCTTATGTCTCTCCAGGAATTTTTGCTTTTGTCAGTATTCTGCTCCTCTCCCTTTCCTAAAATAAAAACCCAAAAAATCATTATGAGTAATTATAACTTTTTTAGATTATAACAACAGTGATCATAATGGGACCATGCCTGATATATTCACCAAAATGTTCCCTTTCTGTATTTCACCTCATAGGACAGAATGGACAAACAACAAACACTTGTGCCCTGATTAACTAAGGAAGACAATGTTATCATCCTTACCTACAGAGGCCAGGTTCCTAAAGGTTTCCTGCATCACTTCTCTGTAGAGCTTCTTTTGGGAACCATCCAACAAATACCATTCCTCCAGGGTAAAGGTCACAGCTACATCCTCAAACGTCACTGACTCCTAAAATATCCCACAGGATTTCCATGAGGAAGGGGGAGACTAATAGCATTGGAGATATAGACTCTTTCTCAGCATGTTAATACAGTGTTGTATTACCTCAATGTTCCCTCTGTGTCCTGGTCATCACACTCTTACATTCAATCCACATATCCTATGACACATCAATTCTGACACTAGGTTGGATATACTTGGTAAAGCAACAGCAGAATAGGAACACACATATGCTGTTGGATCACTCCAATTTCTTGTGTGCTAGCTGTGAAGCACCTCTCACACCAGAGTCCGAGTGCTTAGTGTGCACTAGGGAGTCAATACCAGCTCCCCTGAGACTGTGTATTCTTAGAAATGCTTCTGAACAAAGGTCACCCTTTTTAGTATCTGGGATCAACCTCACCAGGTAACTGCACAGAAGTGCATGGGGTTCCAAACAGTTTATGCCAACAATATGCTATTTTTAGTTCTGTTGTTCCTCTGAATGCTTCTAAGTTTCTGATATGCTCATCAACAGGAGCCCACCTGATCAGTGTCTAACATACACAGTGGTGAATTCTGATACTTCAGTTTAATGCCTTTTGTCACAACTTGTTACTTTGGAAGCTTCTATCTATTTCTTATAGACTACATTAATTAAAACTAAATAAGGCCCATGAAGGCTAATTCACTGGGATAACGGAAAAACAACAGATTTTACTGGATAATGTCAAAAGCACAGTAAAACAAGGCGGAAGGATGTTGTTAGCAGTCACTTCTCACGCAGCTCTATAAAATTCTTTAACTTCAAAAAACACACCTAAGTGCTGCTGGAGATGTGGCTCAAGAGATAGAATTCCTGCCTAGTAAGTGTAAGAGCCTGAGTTCAAAGCCCAATACAGCAAAACACACATACACACACACCCTAGATAACAAGACTTACTTTATTAAATCTACTGGGCATAATAAATTCTAACATTTAAAATCTTTGAAAAAAAAATAAAATGATAAAGTGATAGCTTGACCAATACACCAAAAGACATTTAAACTACACTACTGGGAATACTATACTATTATCAGAGCTTAACAAATAGATGAGGGAAAGGAAATCTTCCCTATGCCTTCATGTAAAAGCAGAAAACTGATTCCTAGCTGGGCAACATTGCCGTGAGTGGCAGAATCACAGACTCTGTACCACAGCAGGCAGGGACTAACTGGCGTGTACCTGGAAACATTCACTGCACTTCTCTCTATTCCATGGGCAGCACAGTAGATGCTTGGCATGTGTTTCCGAGGATCCCCTTTGAGGAAAAACCAGGAGTGCTCAGGATGTATAGAGGTCACAATTCTAGAACAGTCAAATTTACCTACACTGCAGGGACAGTTAGTCTGAGCTTCCATGAATTGAAATCATGGGGAACAGACTACATTGCTGTCACAAAACTAATGTACGCATGAAGACTGCTTACCACAAACTACACTTCACATCACGCTGTTTACCTTTAATATTTGAGCCTGACTCATTTTTCCCACAGTGCCAGCCAACCTCCACTCACAATATATTATGCCTTTCAAGAAATCTAAACGTTGCCCTTTATCACTTGGTACGTTACAAACCTTATTGGCTTGGCTCGGGTAGATTACCAAAACTTTAACTTTGCTTTTAGGGCACCATTTGCTTTTCTGAGGAATACATTCAAAAAACTAAAGTCAAGAGAAACACGCATCAGATCACACACAACAATTTAAAGACAAATGATGATGATGATGCCAGACTGAGAACTTCTCTGCATCAACAGAGTACTGTAATGCGCCCTTGGAAATTTAAATGTTTTATACTTGAACTTTCTCTGATGCTTTCATGATGTATTTTTGGACAGCACTTGATCAAAACTGTGTTATAAATCTGCAAATAAAGCTGGCTTACTGTAAATATATTCTACACTGAATGAGGAAAGGCAAAACTTGAAAACTTTGGAAAGATATAGTCAATAGGCTTATGGATGTTAGAATAGTTTCTTCATAAGGTAAAAAAGCCTAAGAGGCAGAGGATGGAGGTATGGCTCAAGTGGAGAGTGCCTCCCTAGCAAGTGTAAAGCTCTAAGTTCATATCCCACTAACATTAAAAAAAAAAAAAAAAGTATCACTAGTGGAGTGGCTCAAGTGGTACAGAACCTGCCTAGCAAGCATGAAGCCCTGAGTTCAAACCCCAGGACCACAAAAATTAAAAAAAAAAAAAAAAGGTTTTTTTTTTAATTTATTTACTTGGTAACTAATTAATTTGGTGGGAGTGAAGTTTGAATTCAAGGATTTGTGGCTTGAGCCACAATTACAGTCTATTTTACGCTGCTTATTTTGGAGATGCGGTCTCTCAGATATTTGCCCAGGTTGGCCTCGATCTATGATCCTCCTGATCTCAGCCTCAAGCCCCAGGTATGTTATGTGTTTAAGACCAGACCATGTAAGCAAGATGTTATGCCTGAATGGAGGCTCAAATGATAGATTCCATTGCCCTTTCTTGTCATTTGAACTTTAATGCAATCAACATTTTTTTTCTCTAATATCCACAGAATATGTTTACATTTGTACTTCGAGACAGATGCACTATTTTTCATAGCAACAAAAAGTAACCTTGGAAAAGCCCCAACACAGTGATCGCAAGTGATGAATAAATAACTTGGCCCCCAACTGGGACACCAGCATTTGTAAAACAATACTGAGGTAAAGAACGCACCCAAACGTTTTTCCTTTAATACTCCCATATTGAAAGTTTTTTTTTTGGGGGGTGGCAAAAACTAAAAGAACACTGCTTAGTGAAAAAAGATCACAAATAGTAAGGTTAGTAAAAGCAGTCAAAAAGTTAAGACAGTGGTCACCTATTGGGTAACACAGGGATGAATCTGGTAGTGATAACTGCCCAAGGCCCAGTTCTGGATCTTAACAGGAAATTGAAGTTACAGCCAGAGGTGCTGCACAAGAGATAGAGTGCCAGCCTACCAAGCCCACAGCCCTGGGTTCAAACCCCAGTACCACCACCACCACCCACACACACACACACACACACAGATATCCAGGATATTTACACTATTTTCATTACATAATCTTCCTTTCATTTACTTCTCTTTTTCTTTTTGGAGATACTGGTGTTTCAACTTGGGGCTTCATCCTTGCTAGGCAGGCACTCTACCACTTGAGCTATTCTGCCAGCCCTTTTCTGTGTTGCATATTTTGGAGATAGGGTCTTTCAAACTATTTGTTTGGGCTTGCCTCAACCTGGATCCTCCATGCATGAGCCACAGGTGCCCAGTTGTCTTCCTTGAATGTGACAGCTGGTCATAACTCATAGATTGGGTGACAATACAAAAAGGTTACAACATGAGATCCCCACACACCCAGCAAGGTGAGGTCAGAGTGCACCAGCCATCAGGCAGGAAAACAGATTAGTAAATCAGAATAAGAAAAGACAAACACAAGATGTGGTCAATGTAGAGAGGTATCTTGCTTACACTACAAACTCCCATGGTCAAATGCAAAGGAAGAATTCTAATATTGACATTGGTGATGATATGATACAAAACCAAAA